TTTTAGTTATTAATTAAAGGGCCCATTAGTTGTTTCTTGTTTAGCAAGTTGTTAACCCTAATTTATATCTTATAAATACCCAATCATGTAACTATAATCTGTGAGCACCTAATAAAAGATAAACCCTAGCTGCAACCCGTGGAGGTTACTGACCGAACCACGTTAAATCTCGTGTTCTTATTTTCTGCTATTTGTGTGTGTGTGTGTTTGTTCGCTTCCGCTTGACCGCCTCTGATCTCTGATTCCTAACACGGGCAGACCGGCGGCCACCGGCCAGCCCGCCACCGCTGCTGCCGAATTTTCGAGAACAAGTCTGTCGCTGGACGCCGTCGACAGGCGGGCAGGTAGGCTGCCGCCTGCCAGCCCGCCGGCGCTCTCCTTCGCCGCCGGTTCGTATGTTCGCCGCCGCCGCCTATTTCTGATCGCCGCTGATATCCGACCGGCAGTCAGGCCAGCGGCCGCCGGCCAGGTCGCTTGTCAGGCCGCCGAAATCCGTTGATGCTACTTTGCTCTAAATTTCATTCTGAACACTTTTTCCTTCTGCACCGACTTCTAATTCCGCACTGTTTGTGAGATAGAATTATTTTTCTATTAAAAATTTACTTTTTTTAATCCATTCTTGGCCCAATTTTACATATTAATTCAAAGACATTCTTTTTATGATCAATTTATCAAAACATATATTTTTGATGAAAAATAATAAAGAATTTATTGTTTTGATAACAAAAATGGTACAAGAACGAATTAAATATGAGTAAAAAGATAAGTACGAAACGGACTTATCAAATCTCAACCAGAAACAATTGAGTTTTTCTGGTTTGGCACTTATGACCTTTCTCATAAGGTTCATCACAGAAATAGCATAATCCTTTAGCGCTTTTCTCTGCTCTTTCTGCTGCAGATAAGATCCTGGTAGGCCTGAAACTTCTAGCTGTGCTAGTAGTTGGACTAGTCTCACTGTTTGCAGAATTTTTATGTCCAGTCAAGGAACTATTACTGTTGTAACTTGAAGCTCCCTTTGGTGTAGGTAATATGCCCCCTGACGGTGTTAACCTTGAGGATAAAGGTTTAGACATGTTCCTGGTAGCTTGTAATGCCTCCTCCTGTAGTCTAGCAAACCGAACAGCTTCATCCAGTGACTGAGGTTTTAAGGCTTTTACAAATGGCTTTATGTGAGATTTTAAACCACCAACAAAGCTATCTACAAAGTATTCTTCAGGAAGCGTAGGAGTTCTCTGTAACATTAAAGCCTTCAATTCCTCAAATCTTTCCAAATATGCCTCAATAGTTCCTTCTTGACTCCATTTATTGAATTCCTCTACAACCTTACTGTCAAGTTCATCTTTAAATCTTCCACACAAGTCAAAAATGAACTCATCCCAGCCAATTCCCTTTTTGACAGTAATATAGCTGGCAAACCACGTTTCGGCTTTGCCTACGAAATGGATTGAAGCCAGATCTAACCTTTGTTCCTCTGGAATTTTACAAAGGCTAAAGTATCGAGCACACTTCTTAATCCAGTTCCTCGGATTAGATCCATTAAACACTGGAAATTCAACCTTAGGTACAAACTTGAAAGGATTCTTCTCACCTCTTTCCATTCCGGTGACTTCTGAGTTGTATCTGTGCTCGTTGCTACTGGATTTCTCCATCATCTCCATTATCTTCTCCAGCATTTTCTGTTGCTCCTCAATTTTCTGGTTTTGCGATGCCAATTGTTGCTCCAGAAAAACCTTCAATTGATTATTCTGAGCATTCTCCATGTTTGTGCCTTGTTCTTCCTTCGATCGATGTCTCGTGCGTGCCAGGATTCAAAGCTCTGATTAGACCTGGCAAAACTGACACGGACCCGATAACCCGGAACCGAACCCGATTTGACCCGAAAACTGAAGAACCGAAATAGAACCGAACACCCGAAATGATCCGAACCGAACCGAACCCGAACCGAATGTATTCAGACCCGATTCAAACCTGAATCCGATTAAACCCGAATCCGATTAAACCCGAACCGATTAAACCCGAACCCGGTTAAACCCGAACCCGGTTAAACCCGGAACCGATTAGACCCGAACCCGATTAGACCCGAAATTGATCAAATTCATTAATATTTCATTTATCAAATGAATTTGGAGAAAACGAATTACCTATATATTTTTACATATGTTGATGTGTTTCTAAAAAAACATATTTAAATAATGGGTGCAAACCATGTAACTACTTTCATGTACAAATCTTTTACTTTGCATTTTATAACTTAAGTTAAAATACTTTTGTATTTTTATAGAAAGTATATAAAAATTATAGTTAACTAAATTAACTAAATTTATTATGTGATTTATTCATTTATTAGTATGTACTAAGTATGTGTTTACATTATACTTGAACTAATATAAATTTAAACCGATATAAACTCAAATCTATATAAACCCAAATCAATACAACCCGAATTGATACAAACCTGAACCGATATAACCCGAACCGATACAAACCCGAACCGATATAAACCCGGAACCGAACTGACCCGAACCGAACCGACCCAAACCGATTATAACATATATCCGAAAGAGACCCGAACCGAAAAGACCCGAACCGGAACCGAACCGATTGACCCGATTGCCAGGTCTAGCTCTGATACCAGTGATAACGTCAATGCAGGAGGATACTCGTAGAAAGGAAGAGATCCTCGAGGATGAGCTATGGCGATCAACACAGTTGATCGCAGGGAACAGATTAGAGAGAGAAAGAGAACGAAAGAGACAGAAAAGGGATCGTATTATTCATCATGATTATTACAGAGGATATTAGGGTATTTAAAGGGGTTACAAAGCATCAACTGGTAACTAACTTGTAACAAATTCCCAACCGTCATGATACACGTGGCAACTGTATCAGTTTGAGATCAAATGAGTTTAGGTTCTGATATAAGTCCTCACTACTAACTATTTAGAAGGAGTTTGGGTTTCGATATATTCTCCGGGCAGCAATGACTTTGTCTGGCCTACTGACTTTAAAGAAACGCAGTTCTTGTTGAACTTTTCTTTATCGTGGTGCACGGTTGTAAGAGTTTGTGTTGGAACTTGGAAGAGAATATTGGTGCATGGCTCTCTATATAAAAAAACTCTAGGGTTTTTTCATTTTTTGGAAGAATGGCGTGAAGTCTGATATATCGGTGATCTCTTGTCGTGTGATTGTGACTATGTGAGAGGAGAGTGTTGATTTGATATTAACAGCAAGGTAATTCATGCCTCTGTGTATTTTCACTCTCACGCATGTTTTGTTGAGAAGCATTTGTTTATGAAGAACCATGCTAGAGCTTCTCTATATGTTACAATTGATCCGTTCCTATATTGTTGGTGATCAATCGAGGATCCATGTTCTAGAAGTGTAGGAGAGAGTGGAGGTTCGCAGCACTTAAAATAGAGCTTATGCTTTTTATTCACTTTCTTAGTTTGCGTGTTATAATTATTCCTGAAGTGATGTGTATTAATCATTTGTGTAAACTTATTGTGATTAGTGGATTGGATCGCTACAAGAATGTAGAGATCCCCTATGTTAGGATTTAGGAAACAGGAAGTAATTTTCTCTGAATTGGATAAACAAGTCTTGTGTTCATTTATTCTTTTCTCTGCATGCATGACTTGCTTCTGTTGGAAAATCAGTCTAGACTACTGTTGCGGGACCTAAGACTACTGTTGCGGGAGTTGGCAGGCTATTTCATTGGCTTCATTGCCTTTAGATCATGTTTTGTGTGTTCCTACAGACCTACACCCTTCATTGCTCTTTAACATTTTCCAGTGACTCTGTTACTCTTTGGGATTATCGCACTGGAAAGGTATGGGTGTTGATTATGAATTACAATGACTCAACTGTCTCAATCAACATCTAGACCATGTTGCATGTATGTTCATTGTGCCGCCCAGTATTTTACACTAATGCTTGGGCCAACACATGTACTGAATTGATTGCATTGTGTAGGAAATCTAAAACATTCATTAAACAATAAAACACGGGGTGGGGGATGGGATATTGTTTTTACCCGACCCAGCTGGAGAGGGGCAGTATTTAGCCAATCTATTTTAGATGGGAACTCTGGCACAGTAGTAACATTTTCCCTAGAAGACGTTGATTGAAATATGAGATGAGTAGAATCTCAACTTTGCCAAAAATTGTCAAGGATTCAAACAAGAACCTTATAAATGGGTAATCAAAGAGTGAACAACTATTTGATATCATGAGCAATATACAACTAAGGGTATAAAGTATAAACTTGCCTGGCCTCTAGATCAGAGATATAGTTTATAAGCTGTTGAATTTTCTGTGAGCGGGATGTGCCTGCAATAACAATAGGTTTACTACAATTATTTTCTTTCATAAAGAATTCTTTTTACAAGGAAGCCAAATAGAATAATCAAATGAAAAAAATTGAATGAAGGAATTTGACAGGTAGGCATGAAGCAAATAAAGGGAACTTGCAAAAATGTAAGACCTTCGCTTTGTCTGAAGGGTGGGCTGCTAATTCCAAATAAAAGATTCCAAATAGCTTTTGGAGATGTATACTGCACTGCCTTTGAGAAGGGTATAATAATGAAAACTTGGAGTTCAAAAACAGTTCCAAAAACATATAAACTAGATTAAAGAAAACCATGGAAATGTTGGGGTAAAAATAATTCTAAAATCTATTTATATTTTATATTAAAGTGTAACCTTCCAATTTGTGATGATGAAAACAAGACAAGATGCAGCAATTCCCAAACTTGTATATCTCACAACATTGCGCCTGGAAACCTGCACCCTGTCCAGTGAATTATTTCGGCCATCTCATGACAACAATGAACTGAAACCATTATTTTTCTCTAGAAGTGGAAGAAAATTAAAGTAGCTCACTAGTCTCAATAGCTGGTATTTCCTTGAGAAAGGAATGTAAATGAAGAAGATAAAGAAGTATTCTGTTATGCAGAAAATCCCAAAACAAATTTCAACAAAGAGATATACTCTAAAGATTTTGAGAACTGCCAACAAAGAGATATACTGTCGTACCAAATAGAGTCTTCCTTGACCAATTGAGTGATATTAACTATTAAGAGCCAACAAATAGATATAATACAGAGACTTTGAGAAGTCCATGACAAAAAAAACAAAACACTGAGAACAAAGTAGAAAGCTAATGTTATCTCTAATTTATAAAATGGACGAAAGCACATTTGAATTAATTGTGGTATGAAAATTACTAATTAACTGATTTAGATATGGTCACTCCTACCCTCCAAATGAGGAGACTGAGCCAATGGTAGGATATTTGTCCTGCACTGGTGTAATACCATTACTGTTGGGTTCAATGGAAGATGGTGCATGATACTGGATAGGTTGAGTTCCCTGCATCTTCGCATCTGCAATTTTATCTTAATGAGAGTTCAACTCGAAATTCATAGAAACAGAAAACTTGATACTGATCATAAAGTTGACGCCCATCAGAAGCAACCTTTTAGCAACTTTTGAAAAACAAACCTCAAATATTAATGCTGATAAAAAGTCAATAGATTGCACAAGCAAATTGTTTGTGTCGAAAACAGGAAACCCCCCTTTAGTTAACAAGGAATCAATTACAAGGTTAAGTTATTCATTAAATTGACATACACCAGTTCATTAATACTCCCTCTGTCCCACAAAACATTTCCAGTTTGAAAAAAGGCGGGTTTTAAAAATGTACAATTTTGATGTTATCTGCTAATTTCTAATTTTCTATCCTACATATAACACATCATATCCCACCATATTATAAAGTAAGAGCAAAATTAGAAAATAACATCAAAATTACACATTTTTAAAGCCCGCCTTTTTCAAGCTGGAAATGTGTTGTGGGACAGAGGGAGTATCATGAATGGTACAAATGACATTTCTCATTGATTTTAAAACTGCATACTATTGGAACCAGATCCACCACTGAGAATATCATCAAGTGAGATATTGTATATCCCCCTTCTGATGAGAGATGGAGCTGCTGCTTCTATAATACTTTCTGCTAATGTTGTAGTCACAGCTATGCATCTGCAATGTGATTTGATTTGCTCAAGTGACGGATGCAAATAAATGGTGCCCTCATTGAACATAACAAATATGGAGTTCTCATTGAACATAAGACACCACCGTTTGTACCTCATTTTAGCTGCTTTGGCAGCTTGTATGCCAGCTAATGCATCTTCAATCACAACACACTGCATTTAAGCAAGTAGAATATTAAATTCATACATAAAATTCAAGCAATACTAATGCCGGTTATAAGCAAGCCTGTGATCATGTACTAGACAAAAGTTAATCTTTCAGATGTTTGTATTTTATGTACTTTTTGAGGAATATATAATGGCAGTACTGCATGTAAGCTCTATTGCTACCCTACCTCACTAGGGGGCACATTCAAAATCTTTGATGCGGCCAAAAAAATATCTGGAGCAGGTTTCAAATTCTTGAATGCATCAGCAGAGACAATTGCATCAAACCTGAAGACGTGTGGCCGGTGTGGGGGTCGGGACGGTGAAACAGCAAAAGTTTAAAATAAAATAAAATGAAATGTTAACAATACAAGTCATTCAAGTTGAACTTTGTTTCTACTTTCTAAGATGTTAGCAATTAGCATGCCATCAAGGAAGCCAATTTGTCATCGATCTAAACAGAGAACTGTTATAAGTTATAACAAAGTCAGAATAAAGAGCAGTGAGAAATTCTATGTTTTAGCCCTGGTCAGGTGGCAATCCAAAACCAGTAAATTAATCTTTATTTTGAAAACCAAAATCACAGCAGGAACGTGGATAAATGTGATCTTCCCACGGTGATTCAATAAACAAAGGATAGAAGAGACACGAAAGATGGTCATGTTCAATTTTTGCAGGTTGATTTTACAATATCAATCGTGTAAGGGGCATTGCAACCAAAAATATCTTAACTAGTCAACTCGTTGTCATTTCATGATATTTTCCATGTATTGGAATTTTCATCTCATTATTCAGTCTTGTGAAGGTTGCAACAAGAAGGGCATCCAAGCGTAAAACATTGCTACTATGTTTTTTGCATTATCTGCGTTAACTAACGATAAGCAAATTAGCACACTATAAATTTAATGTCACTGACCCCCAACAAGCTGGGACTGAAGTGTTGATAATAATGATGATAAGAAAAGAAATGTGCACACTAATTTTTTTTTACTTATCCCTCTTTATGTTCATTTGTTTCCGTCTGAACCATTGTCTCGGACCCTATCTCAAGTTTCTACACCCAACCTATTGATTCCAATATAATAAAGCTGCAATAGAATGAAAACTCTACTTTTCATGTCAAAAGATCGTGCAATGGCACTTCAATTCTCTATATAGCATTATAGCCATTATTCCATTACTAGATCAGATGGCCCTTAAAGAAAAACTCTCTGACATCAATGTGAAATGATTAATAGATTTTGGTCAAGGATTATGCATAAATTTATGGGCTTGATTATATTATACATTTTCTCGCCTTGCTAGAATAGCATTTCCTTGTCTCATTTTGTCTATAGAAGCTATATCTCAATACCTCATTGGCCATTATATCAGCTTGATATAAAGAATGTTTTCTTGCATGAAACTTCAGAAGAGAATTACTCTGTAATATATAGAGCAACCTCCCAGAATTGTTGCTCGAGGGAGTAAGGTCTCATATGTAGAATCCGAAAACCGCTCTATAGTTTATAACAATCATGTGTGCTTTTGTTTGGAAAACTTGGTGAATCTTGAAAATATTGGCATGATTCAAAGTAAGGTTGATCATCATGTAGTCTCTAGACATTTGATCTCTCATAAAGATATTTATCTTGTACATTTTGTGGAAGGTCTTATTATCATAATTAATGACTGAAGGAAATGTTTGTCTAGAACAACATTTTTCTTAACACGTTCAACAAAACGATCTGGGGAGATTATGGTGCATCCTTGGTAGTGAGGTTGCCAAATCAAAAATAGGTATTTGTTTCCATATGCGAGCGAAATATTGTACTTGATATCTTGAAAGAAAATGGATTGTTAAATTGCGAATTGCAAACCAGTAGACGTTCATATGAACCCAAAAGTTAAGCTTTCATGAGACCAAAGGAGGCAATATTATGATCCAGATCAAAGACTTGTGAGCAAGCTGAATTATCTCATTATAACAAAACAAGATAAAGCTTTTGCAGTTAGTGTTGTTAGCCAATTTCTTAACTCTCCTAGGGAAGGTCATTGGAATGCAATCATTTGCATTTTAAAATGGGGTTTTTGCATACAAAAAAAAATCTCGTGTAATTTTGAATTGGTTGGGCTATCCACTCCTAGTTAAAAAATACTCTGTAAGTGATATTCATAACGTTGCTACGAGACCCCTTACTTCTCCCGAGTTTCCAACAAATTGTTCACTTGCACCTCTGCAATATTCAATCTAGGATTGCATCTGAACAAAGCCACGAACCAACATCCGTACATCCTAGGAGATTTAAGTCCACAAATAATTTTTCGCATCTGATTTCATTGTGGGCAAGTGTGCTAATTTTTTTAAACACGTGGATGATATCACATTTTTTTACATGGGGATGATAATGCCAATTCAAAATTATGTGAGGGTAATTTTTCCAAAAAATTAAAAAGCATTGAAGGGTCTGCTAGAAAAGAAGTGTTATATGAGAACAAAGGTAAGACCGACATTATTGCATACTCTAATAGAGACTGACAGGCTCTCTTAGTGATAAGAGATCAGCGTCTGTATTATGTGTTTTAATTGTTTCTTTGGAGATAATTTCATTTCCAGGAAAAGTAAAAAGCAAGGCGCTATTGTAAATGAAGTACTAAACCAGTGTATAGGGCCAAGGTTCAGACCCTCGCCACATGCGAACTCATTTGGCTAAAGTATTTGCTCCAAGAATTTAGGTGTTGTGAAGTAAACTCAATGAAATTTATTTGTGATAATCAAGTGATTCTGTATATTCTCTTCAATCTTGTTTGTCATGAAAAAACCAAACATGTTGAAATTTATGTCAGTTTATACGGAATAAAATTCCAAGGAAAATCATCACATCTTGTCAAATCTAGTGATCGACTTGTAGATATCTTCACTAAGTCTTTGTGAAGAGTCATAAGACCTTAAACAGCCTATGTTTAAAATAAGCTTGGTGCTTATGATATATACGTGGGGTGTCGAAATTGTTGTCTGAAGTGTGTTTAGTTGTTAAAAGGTTGCATTGCCTAGATCTCCTTTGTATTCTTCGGCTTTAGTTTTAGCTTCCTTGACTCTTTACTTATGAACCAAGTTCCCGAAATGGAGCAACTCGTCACCCATAAATTTAGTTCATATATATAGCGCCAATGAGGAATATAAACAAACTTATATTAAAAATCTATAATGGCAACTTATCTAAATCATATGATAACATTAGCTCACATTGACAATGACAAACCAGCAGCTGTTAAGTTTGCATCAACCTTGATGCGATCAGCACTTGAGGCAACAGCAACTTTGAGACCTTTGCTTTTACACTGTCAAACAGCGTGAACAGGTTTTGAAACAAAACTTAAATGAGCACATACTAGCAATATCTGAATCAAGTCAGGAGCAAAATTGCATGCCTGTGTGACAAGCTCAAAGGCGCCAGGGAAACCAATGCCAGAACTTGGTTTTGCATACTACATAAAAGGACAAAACTTGGTATTCAGTAATCAGCTACTCAAAGTCTCAAACAGTTTAATTATCCTACAACAAGGTTTTAAAAGCAAAAATGGCTTGAAGAACTATCTCCTTGACAGGGTGAAGCGGAAGTTTGTAGTTCCTTTTTTATTATAGGATTTATAGCTTCACATTGAAGTGAGCCTCAAGGCAAAAGCGCCAATACATTTTTAGAACTATGCAACATACTAAAGTAATTGCAAATTAAACATTTTCATTACCTTATCTAGGTATATTTCAAAAAATCTCTTCTTTGATGCATCAGGATTGAATCCCTTAATGCCCTTCACTTTAGCAACACCGCCTAAGAAGTTCACTTCCCCTGAATATATATTTAAGTACATCAATGAATGACAAGAAACAAGTTCTAGTCAAACAATATGAAAATGCACACAAAAACAACCAAGATACATTTTTCCAACTCATACACAGTGATTCAGAGCAACTTTGCACGTATAGAGAAAGTACACAAGTCCCATGTGAGAAATAAACCCATAAAATTAAATCAATGGACAATAATCAATATCATATTTTTTAAACATATGGGATTCAATCAGGCATATATGATACATGATAGAGCTCAATAGTGTTGTTTGATTCATGTAGCCGACCCCGGCTAGTGGGATAAGGCTTTGTTGTTGTTGATCATGATGATGTTGTATGGGACTCGATCCATTGGAGCATAGCCAACAATGGCATGCACACGAAAAAAGTTTGTTTAAGGAAGAAACAACTATACACGAGTGTTGAGTGTTCTTAATACGGAGTACATGATATAAACTTCACAACAACTCAGTAAAATCCTAATTCAATTGGGGTATGACCTATGGGGTCAAGATGTATGCAACATTAACCACTAAAATCCAGAGAGATCATAATACAATAATAACCTAGTTTAATCCCAGCACCGTAAGGGTTTTGGATTCAAGATGTACGCAATCTTGCCTCTATACAAACAGAGAGATTGTTTTAGACTCTAGAGTCTAGACACATTGTTGTATCTACTGCCCAAAACATTACAAAAAGTAAGAAACAATTAAACAAAGGATGTTTAATGTACCTTCGTTCCAAAAAAAACTTCAATTTTTTATTCATCTATTCCAATATATATATTTCACATTTGTTGGAGATTTATTTTGAATTTTAAATAAATGAACGCAACTCTTTGAAGAAACATGTTCGTTCTTAATTGACATAATTCTTGAATATTTACTTTGAACTCAAATTAGATGTTTTTTAAATAAATTGGTGTGTCTCTTACATAAGAGACATGACCATTCAAAAAGGGGCATATCTTTTTCTATAAATAGGGCCCTTGTCACAATGTGATGAAGTAGGAAAAACATCAGAAAAATAATTTAGGATTTGTGCATGAACAATTTGTTATTAATTATAATTTCGTTGATATCTAAAGTATTGAAGAAAAATTTACGTAATATTTATTTCTTCTAAGTTAATTCTATGATAATAAAATATTAAGTATTGATGGTATGGACATGAGTATTAATTATTATTTCATGAATTATCTACGATAGTGAAGAAATCATTTATTATTACTTCTTCAGAGTTTTTTCAATGATAATGAAATATTAATTAATAATAACTTTACTTTTATGAATTGTTTTTCATGTGCGGGAGACAACTCTTGTTAAAGTACATCAACAAATTGTTTCGTAGAGCAACCCAACAATTTGGTTTCTTATCTAGTAACTTGCTTATATAATAGGGTAGATAAGAAAAATTTAGATGGTGTTTGAGAGTGATTAATTTGTGATACAGTGATTTCCACAAAAACTGAAAGTAAAAGCACCTCATAACTGCTTCTCCGAAAAGGTGTTCTATGTACAAATAGTGGTAGAAAAAAGTAGAAGTAGACATGCCAAAAAGATTAAACTCACTTCCACTCAAAGTATAAGCTAAATTCTTAAAAGCAGTGCACTACGAAACACCCTCTTATCCATTCATAATTTATCCATTCATAGTTGTTCAAAAGTGGCCTGAATCCCCATTTCCATAACAAGATAGGAGTATATATATATATTCTTACCCATGCCCGTAAAGGGTGCAAAGTCTTCAACGGTGACCTGAATCCCCATTTCCGCGAAAACGTCCACAGCTGCCCTTCTCGAAGGATCCTCGCTATTACACAGCACACCGTCCATATCAAACAGCACGGCGGAGACCTTCCCCCATCGGTTCTCCCCCTCGGAAACATTATTCTCCTCTGGTTTCGCGCACGCCCTAACGGCAAAATACGACCTTCTCCGCCCTGAATTCTCCGGCCGTTTAGGGAAAGATTGAATATAAGATGCCGATTTGAAGCCTGAGAACTGCGCGAGCTTCGATTGGGGAGCAGTAGAGGTGGAAAACGGCAGAGACGATAGCCTCAGTGCCATTGTTGTGGGGCGTATTTGAGCACCAACTCGCAAACGACTAGGGGTGAGCGTGCTATTGGCGCAATTCCCTCGGTGGGGACTTTGAGGAATTTCCTCATTCAAACTTTTGCATGTTATACATGCGATTTTTTTTTTTCAGAATTTTCGCATGTACTACAAGTAAAAAAATACACATCAAAGTCGCTTTTTCCCGTTGATATGCTTTTCCCAGTTTTTTTTAAAATCATTTCGCATGTACTACATGCAAAAAAAATGTCACTTTTTTATTAAATAATTTCTCCCCCAAATGCATATATTGTTCCTTAAAGAATATATAAATAATATTATGTATTTTTATATATATAATTTTTTTACATATCATTAAATATGTATTATTGAAATTTTTGAATATCAACATCAATAATAAATTTAAGAAGCAAATATGATTAAATATTAATTATAATGCACCAGTTTTAAGAAAAATACACAACATAAAAACACATAGAAAAAAGTACAATTATTTAAACACATAATAAAAAAGTACACTTTAAAAATACTTAAAGCATAATTATTAATTTGCCCTACGATCCATCTCTCCCGGATAACGATTTTGCTGACGACGTCCTCGACGGGGAGTCTCTTCTAAGGGACGTATCGGTGGCAAGACTTTCCAATCACCAACATTCAAATTTTCTGGAAAAATGAACGGTTCAACCCAACCACTGTAACAACTTAAATATCTCTGAACAGAGTATTTGTCTGGAACAAGATCATCTGCAAGTTGTTGAAAAGAATGATACATGCCATGAACATGCACACAAGGGATTCCATCTGCAATCCATTGTCCACACGTGCAAATGTTATTAGCCAAATCCACCATATAATTGTACGTAGCACCTAGATCGGAACGAGAACTATGGCTAACTATATACTGATAGTTACCATAATTTGTAGCCACCCACTTGTGCTTTGTCTTCTCGTGGTGACGAAAAATTGTTGTAATTTTAGGAGTTGTGTGGATGTTCTTCTGCATCCACTGAACAGCAATCTTGTGCCTTTTTCCAAATGATTCAACCATTTTATTGTAGGACATCTTCAATATTGTCGTAACTGGCATCATCCGACAACCTTTGAGCATATTATTAAAACTTTCCGAACTATTAGTTGTAAGAATTCCACATCTATTTCCATCATCATAGCAGAGAGTCCATGCCTCGCGCGGAATATCGTTCAAGTACTTATATGCAGCTTCATTTGCGTACCTTATTTCTGCCATGTACTCATTAAACTGTTCGATGTTGGGTGTGCTCCAAGCGGCCCAAACTTTACGTTTGAGGTCACTGTCATGAAATTTATTCATGAAATTGCTGCGGACATGCCTTAGACAATAACGCTTGGTTATGAACCTAGTTTGTAGCTCAGGGAGATCACGATATGCATTGATAATGCCTGCATGCCTATCAGAAATTACACAAACCCGATGCGAACGAATAACTCTTTGAACAAGAAGACGAAAAAACCATCCGAACAAATAGTTGTGATTCGTGCCCAAGCCCAGAGTTGGAGAAGTAGCATACATCCACATGGACGAGCATTATTCACTCGAAGGGATGCCCGACATAAACCACTAAATAATCTTGCAAGTACAGCTGAACCCCAACTAAAATTCACAATCGTGTCAAAATCTCCCAAATATGATACAAAATCTGTAGGTGCAAAGCGGCCAGATGAGTCTGGAAACAAAAGACCCGCCAAATACCCATAGATGACCCGAGCTGTGTATTGCTCCACCTCCCGATTTGTCCATCCAGCATTTGGTTGAACCTGGTGTTCAGGATTTCGTGGAAATAATACTTTGATCTTAAATTGGTCACGACGGCCCAGATGTTCATCAAGAAGTGTCCACTTCAGAGCATGCAAAAAATCATGGTCTCTCTCCTCTATGGTGCATCTCAACCCAAGAAATGCAAATCCGTTAATGGGGAAACCCAATAGACACTCTACATCATGTAAAATGATACCCATTTTTCCAAAAGGGAAATGAAAAGCATGCACCTCCGGTCTCCATCGCTCAATGAGAGCAGTGATTAAACCATGATCAAATCTAATAAGGTGCACACGGTGTACCCCATAAAATCCAGCCCTCCGTAAATTTTGGAGAACCCTGGGGTCATGAAAAACAGTATGGATGCGACTATGATATCTAACTGAAACTAATTTATTGTCGCAAAACTCCTTATGTTTCCATACCCGACTAGAACGATGAGTATTCTGTAAATGTAACATGACATCTATTCTAGGGCTCGCTATCTCTCTCTTCATCTCTCTTTCTCTTTCCATTATATGTCATCCATTTTTGCACTACAAAAATAAAATAATAAAAATTTATTTTTTTATTCTTAATATTAGTGCATACAAAATTCATTAAGAAGATAAGGTTAATATTAGTGCATACATATGAGTGAAGTGGTGAGTGAAGGGGTGATTTGAATAAAAATATACGAGTGATAATTAAGAAGATGAAGGTTGATATTAGTGCATACAAAATTCATTAAAAAACATCTTCATAATTTCGAAAAAAATATATATTCATGTAAACACTATCTTAAAAAATATATTCATTAAAAAACATAATTTCGAAAAAAATATTTTCATAAATTTCTATAAAAAATTAAATATATTATGGAGCACATAGTTGAGAATATATAAACACAATCTTAATAAATCAAATGAAAATGAAAACTAATAAAAACATAACATTTATAATCAACATTATTAATATTTAAAAGCTAAATGAAGTATAAGTAGTAAAAAAAAATACCCGAGAAATGTTGAATGTTATGGAGTAGTGTGATAATAGGTTAAATTTGAAGAGTGAGTGAAGTGGTGGGTGAAGGAGTGATTTGAATAAAAATATATGAGTGATAATTTAGAAGATGAAGGTTAATATTAGTGCATACAAAATTCATTAAAAAATTATCTTCATAATTTCGAAAAAAATATATATTCATGTAAACACTATCTTAAAAAAATATATTCATTAAAAAACATAATTTCGAAAAAAATATTTTCATAATTTTTTATAAAAAATTAAAAATATTATGGAGCACATAGATGAGAATATATAAACACAATCTTAATAAATCAAATGAAAATGAAAACTAATAAAAACATAACATCTATAATCAATATTATTAATACTCCCTCCGTCCACAAAAAAACTTCCCACTTTCCTTTTTCGTCCGTCCACAAATAAACTTCCCATTTCCTTTTTTGGAAAGTTTTTAATACTAAAAAGACTTAATTACCCTTCATTCACTCTCTCCCCTTATCTTTTTTTCTCCATTCTCTCTCTCCCTTATCTTTTTTTTCTTCACCCAACCACACCTTTTTCTTCTTCTCCGTTCTTATCCTCTTTTCTTCACTTCTCTTTCTTTTCTCTTTTCTTCTTCATCTTCTTTCTCTTCTACTTCTCCGTTCTTCTTCATCTTCTTTCTTTTTTCTTTTCTTCTTCTTCTTCTTCCTTTTCTCTTTTCTTCTTCTTCTTCTT